GGACGGAGTGGAGTGACTGGCGTCCGGCTGGCGGCCCGGTCGCGGCTGGGCGAGGCTGGGCGGTGCGCGGTGGCAGCGGAACGAACGCGGTGCGGGCTGGGCGCTCGCGGCTGGGCCCATGGCCTCCTGCGCGAGCATCGACATCGAGGACGCCACGCAGCACCTGCGGGACATCCTCAAGCTGGACCGGCCCGCGGGGGGTGAGTGGGCATCGCGGAGGTGGGCCCTCCGCAAACCGGCAGAACCGCGGCGCGGGTCTGAACCGCCTTCAGGGTGTGCTGGTCTTTTAGGACTGGCTCTGGATACTCACGGCTGGTGAGGGCGGATGAGCTTCAGAGCCATAGATCCTTCAGTGTGCAGCACCTGCGGGACATCCTCAAGCTGGACCGGCCCGCGGGGGGTGAGTGGGCATCGCGGAGGTGGGCCCTCCGCAAACCGGCAGAACCGCGGCGCGGGTCTGAACCGCCTTCAGGGTGTGCTGGTCTTTTAGGACTGGCTCTGGATACTCACGGCTGGTGAGGGCGGATGAGCTTCAGAGCCATAGATCCTTCAGTGTGCCTGGCGAAGAGCGCAGGCAGATCCCTAGCTGTGACCCCTCCTCATTCTGGCGCTGGGCCGTTGTGCCTTGTCCTTCAGCGTCTCAGCTGAAGGTGAGGCTACTTCTCTGAATCCATCGGGCTTCTTTGATTTCCTGGCCCCAAGATCTCAAGTGTTCCTGGGACTGGCTTGGCGCCCCGGCCCTTTTGCCTTGGTTCAGAGGCCAGGTTCGGGCTCCTTATTCCCAGTTCTGGGCCCAGACTTATGTGCTGTGCTGAAGAGCTGCTGATTTTCTGCAACGTGCCCTACCCTCTGAAATGCAGACTCCAGCCTGCTGTTCTGAAACTGATTTTCAGGAGGAAGGTGGCTACCCCGGGTTCGCTGTTCTTTCTGGAGATAAAGACAAGCCACAGACTTCATGACACAGATTGATTTAGGCTACAAACATCTGCAAACCCTAGTTTGTTCCCATTTGTTCAAATCTTACTTAGGCTCTTAGTGATACCTTTGAATTGCTCTTATCCTCAAAGAGCTCCCAGGATGCAGAGAGCTACAGGGTTGTAATATAGAGTTGTCATTGAAATAGAAGAGTGTTTTGGTACTATGATGGGAATAGGAGAGATGGGTTGAGGGCTGGAGAGTACAAAGTGCAGATTTGAGAGAGAAGACTGTTGAGGATAGGTAGAATGTTGAGAAAGGCACCCAAGGCACTAATAGAAACCACCAGTTACAGAGGAACTAGCAGGTGTGAAGGCACTGAAATGTCCTATGAGGTTCAAGGGTCTGTGAAAAGTTGTGTGGTTGGAACACTGGCTGGTGATGGCAGTGTGGGTATGCAATGCTGTGGCTAAGAACTGATGGTTCCTCAGACCTTGTTCTGACACCTGCTGCGGGGGGCAGACTGGCTGCTTCTGGAAGCAGGCACTGATGCTCACTCTGCGTGGGTTTAGCTAACCCCAGCTCTAACAAAATCCATCAGCTGCCTGAGAGCACTGGACTCTACCCCAAGCCCAAAGTGGGTGTTCCCTTTCCTCATGAGATGGGCCTGGACCTCTCATGCTCATCAGCTGCTGTGCAGACTAGGCTCCTCAGAGATTTGCTAGAGCCTGGCATGGCCAATCATGTGCAGCCCGGGCCTTCAGTTTATCCTCATGGTAGCCTGTTTGGAAGGAAGAGTGGTCAGCTTATCTCTGAGCAGTGAAGGTGGCTGAGATCCCAATGAAGTGACCTGGAGGCTCTCCTTATGACTCCTTTTTTTATTGATTGGCAGTTGATTCCTTAGTTTGCCAAGGAGCTCTTGTCTTCTCTCACTAGGGGTTCAAGTTAGACCCTAGACTCTTTGGAACTGAAAACTTCTTATGTTCCTGAATGCGGAGCCCTAGTCTGCTTGCTAACTGGATATTTTAGCATTAGTATTTGAGCCTATAAGCATGTTGGAAAGCCAGCCAGTGCAGACACCTAAAATGCTGTCTTTCTTGACTCCATACCCTACCCAGTAATGTCTCTCCTCTTTCTTCAATTCCTTCATATTCATTCCTTCTGAGTTGACCTGCCCAAGTTGGTTTCTGAGCCATTTCTGTATGGGACAGACCCCTTCCTTTCCTTTTCTTAAAGTTTATTTATGTTCATGGGACAGGAAGACAGACAGACAGACAGAGAGAGAGGCACTCAATGGAGTCGTCATGCTGCTATCTACCCTTGGTCTCAGCTGACTGGGATTATAAGCACTCAGCATGCTCAGGGAGGTTCCAGGGTATGAACCCAGGACTTTTTCCATGTGGGTTCAGTTGTGTTACTCCTGTACCACCACCTGCCCCCCACCCTGTCTTTCTTACTCCCACTCTTACCAGGTCCTTCCATGGCTTAGGAGCCCATCTCTCCTCTACAAATCCTGCCACTCCCTTAGTCTAGGCCCTGGTATCTCTTACATGGATTCTCAGCTATTCTGTAAACTGTCTTAAGAGCAGTCAGCCCACTGGCCAGAGCTGACCATATCACCTTCCCTTTAAAACACTTTGTGGCTCTCCTTGCCCACAGGGAGTCTTAAACACTGCAGCATCGTACCTGAGAATTCTGCAGCCCTGCTTTCCTCCGTCCTTCCCAGATTTGTGTTTCATCACAATGGCTCTGGTAGTGCCTCTTCTATGAAGTCTTTCCTGAACCTTCCTATTCCCCCCCTCAGT